GCTGGTCCCCCTGGCAGGGCGGCCGCCGGGGCAGCCGCAGGCGGGCGAGCTGCTGGGCGCGGAGGGAGGGGCGCGCCTTCCGTGCCGCAGCGGGGCGGCCAGCGCCCGCCCGTGGAGACCCCACCGCGCACGGCACGGACCGGGGCTCGGACCGGCGGGCCGCCGAGGTGCCCTCCAGCCCCGGGCGCCTGCGGGACAGCCTTGCTCAGCCTGCCGCCTTCCAGACTCCAGACTCGCCAGGCGGCGACCCCCATCACCCTTCCTGGCTGCGGACGATGGAAGCGGCAGTCCCCCACTTCTCGAGGGCACCGGATTGCCGTGGCCTGGCTCGAGATGGGCCACGCAGTCTGAACACTCGGAGACGTGTGCTAGATGCCAGTAACACGTGCTATTGACCTGCACTGCAGGCAGACTCTCCCCCTTCTGTGCTGCCGTCCGGGCATTCGGACACGGAAGTATCAAAAAACCTTTCTGGTCCTGGGAGGTCGGGGGTGGGGGGGGAGCAGAGATGACCGTGCCTTTGAGCACACGCAGAGTTCGCTTCTTTCATACAAGAACAGCTACACCTTCCACTTGGAGGGCTGGTCCATCCCCTAAAGCTAAGCCTTGGGGTGGCCCAAAGAGCTCAGCAAACTAGCTGGGAAGTCCCTGCTTTGGCTGTGAGTAGCCCAGGCTGGCCACCCTCTGGGAGGATTTGCACAACATAGCAAGCTGCTCGGGCTACAGCACAGGAAAAGAACCATGTACAGAGTGCTGTTGTTGCACAGTTGTTAGGGACGGAGGACTGGGGCCTGGAAGACCTAGGTTCTAGCCCTCACTGGATGAATGTGCCAGGCACTGCCTCTCAGATTAGACTACCTTGCAGGGCAGTTGTGAAGATAAAATGGAAAGGAGGAAGGCTGCGTGTGCCACTTTGAATTACCTGCAGGAGGAAAAAAGGCAAAGTAGAAATGCAATGCAAAAAAATATGTGAGGAACCAGGAAGAATCGCTACCCTATCAGGAGCCGAAGTTTCTAGGGCAGCCAGAAGTGAAAGAAAGCAGGGCTTTTGAACCTTTAATAGTCTTACAGGATTTCAGCCAGTAGAACTCATCACACACACCAAACAGGCTAAAATTCCCTCCTATGTCCAGCTTTTGGTCACTGGATATATTTCCAGGAAAACATCAGCTCCAAAACCTTCTTTTAAAAACTGTTTTCTTTTAAACACTGCAAGCTGCCACATTGGGAGAGGAATGAATTCACAAATTATGCATTTTCTTCTGTGCAGTGGGGGTGGAGGACCTGAAAAAGGAACTACCCATGCCCTCAAAAGTTAATTTAAAACGTTAGGGTAGCGGAGAGAGAGAAATGTCAAAGTTGGAATGAAACAATTGATAGTAATAATAATATTGATGATTATGGTGATAGAAATGGGCAAAAGCACAGTTCTACAAAAGCAAGGTAGTCCTACAGTGAGCACTTTAACTTTAGCCCAACACTTGCTGCCTGCAGCTTCTGTCACAACTTGGGTGTTTTCTTCCTTCCAAGTAACGAAAGAAAGTATTTGTTCCTCTTTGCTTGCCTGCAGAACCAGGAAGCTGCAGTTCGGAGAGCTTAGGGGGAGCTCCCTCCTCCTCTGGCAGGAAAACAACTGATAGGGCATGCAGTGCCGCGAGAAACAGACCATGGCTTCATGAGAGGCGCTGCAGGCGCTCCCGGGGAGCTTTGGGGGATGCTGGACCCTGGAGGAGGCAGCATGGCAGAGGAGCACATGGAAGGAGGCCTGAAAGAGGGGCCGCAGGCTTCCCGCACCGTGCAGCCCTGTGCACAGCGAGGACCTTTCCAGGCTCAGGCCACTGCTGGCAGCGAGTCCCCAGGCCCCACCAGCCGGGCTGAGAGCCTCCTTCTCCGCCGGAGCCAGCTGCCCAACTTGAACAGGAGCGCGAGCAGGTCCAGCAGAAGATCAGGCAAGTGGGTGGCAGGAACAGACTCAGCGCGGCTCTCCGTGGGCAGTACAAGGAGGAAGGGACTGAAGGACATCCTCCGGCAGAACAGCCAGGCCAGCGCTTCGTGGCTGATGGCTCCACAAAGGGAAGATCTCCCCGACGGAGGTCAAGATCAGGGACATCTCACGGACGCCAACCTGGATGACCTGTCCTTGGCGCTCGACCCCTTGGAGCATGAGTGGATGCTGACCGTGGCCCAAGGAAACGTGGAGGGCATTCTCCACTTGCTCTCCAAGGACCCCAGCCTGCTCTCCAAGAGGGACTTTGTGACCGGCTTCACCGTCCTGCACTGGCTGGCCAAGCATGGCCACCATGAGAACCTGATCCAGGTGATCACTTTTGCGGAGAAGAATTGCTACCCGGTGGATGTTGATGTGCGCACGGCCAGCGGCAGGCTGACTCCTTTGCACCTGGCGGCCCTGCAGGGCCATGAGATGGTCATCAAGGTGTTGGTGGGCGCCTACGGGGCCAACACGAGCCTGCGGGACCACAATGGCCTCAAAGCATGGCAGTACCTCCGAAGCGACGCTCCCAGGGAGCTGAAGGAGCTCTCTGGGGCTTGTGAGGAAGATCTGGACACGATCGGAGCCCAAAACAACAGAAACAACAACAACAACAGCAGGCCGTCCAGGTGGGGTGCTTTCAGCACTTTCAAGGTGGAATCCAGGGAGAGAAGACCGAGCCAGAGGGCAGGCACCTCCAGCCTGTCCTACCTCAGGAGCAAGCTGAGACGAGCCTTTGCCTACTTCCAACAGCTGTAGGTATTAGCCTTGGGGCTGACATCATTTGACCTGCACGTGGACTGGAAGGAAGCCCTGGAGATGCTGAGATCATTCCCAAATGGCCGCCTTCAGGGAGCCTGCCCAGGCCTGCTTTGCAGCCCCAGGTATGAAAACCAGGAGGTCTTCACTTCCAAGAAATGGGTGTGGGGGAACACACAAACAGAGCTGGTGTGGATCAGTGGCGAAGCCTGCAACTTCTCCAGATTGGGATGTGGTGGGAGCAGCCCCTCTCTCACTCAGATGGCTCAGCCATAAACACAGTCAGTCCATCCGAACTCAACCCCCTTTAACTTAATGAAGCAAAGGTCGGGCTGAGGCTTCCTCTGGTCTGACTGACCCTGCTGGCTGTGCCCTTTTGTTTGAGAATGCCAGGAAGCCTCTTGCGGGGACATGAAGCAGGGCCCTCAAAGTCTACAACGGCTGTCTGCCCAGCGCTAGCCGGCGCTAAGTGCGGGTGCCTGCTTCTCTGCTGAAGCATTATTTGCAACCAGTCCACCAGAAGGAAGAGGGAGTCAGACTGCAAGACCCAGCAGCCCGGAACTGTTGCCCCTGACTGGGAGTGGACCTGCAGGCTTTCAAGAAAGTTCCTTTCCTAGCCCTGAGCTGGGGGTGCCAGGGTGAGAAACGGGGACCTTTTGCAAGCCAACCACTGAGCCAGGCATCCCCACCCACAGGCCTATCAGACCGCAGAGCGAGTGTTTTTCTTGCTGAAGCCCAAGTTCAGTGTCCTCTTAGCGTGGTCAGGTAGAAAGTCCTGGGGTTGAAGGAACCTCCGCCTGGAAGAATGTGGGGAACTTCAGGGCATTCTCAGTTATCAAGAGCAGGAATAAGGGAGCTTTGGTCAAGCTGTGGTCAACATATTCCTAACTAGGAGCCTAGACTACTTTATTCCAGATGGAATTGTGAAAAGATCAGCTAGTTTTGACTAGACTAAGTAAAAATGACTTCAGTATGACTGTGAGAACTGAAGATGTAGAGCCTCCAGAAAAATACTAGCATCCTGAATTCAAATAAAAAACTTTTTGAAAATAACTGTGTGAAAGTTAGCTTGCCTTCTGAGTTATGGGGTGGGCGAGAGAAAAGGTGAGCACAAAATTTCTCAGTGCTTCATGGATTTGTTGTTTTTTTCCCCAAGAGAACCTGGGAACTTTGGACCTCTAAGGAGATGCACATATCTTTACTAAGGGAATATGGAAAAGAAAAAAAAGCAATATAGCAGGCATCTGCTGTGGGGGAAAGGATGGCCACTTGCAAAGGCCTTTGCTCAAATCATAGGAAAACAGCTGCCAAACTGAGCCTCAAGGGCAAACTAATGCAGAAATAAAAAGGAACGGACACATACAAAATGAAACAGGGGACAGCATTGTTTACCTGACCTTTTTTTAAATAAATCCTTCACCAAAGTCATGGAAGAAAACTTAGCAGTTATAGTATGGTAAGAGTTCTTAGGGATTGGTAATTCTGGTTAAAGAAGCAGCAGCCAGTCAGAAGAGTTAAACAGTTCCCACAGCTGAGGTATGCAAGCAATATGGTCCCCAGAAACATGTCCTAAGGCTGCAGAGAGCCTTGCTTAGGTAGGACATTCAACTGCAAGGCAATCATGATGCTAACAGGAGACGCAGAAGAACACCCTTTTCTTGTTGTGCAATTCGACTGCTACGGGCACTTGTTTCAGCCCTCACCACTAGGCAATCCCACCATGCACTTCCACTGCCTCTCTAAAACCATCCTGTTTTATGCATAGATGCCTTTTCCATACAGCAGTTGATCTTTCAGCACAAACCAAATCAGATCAGAGGCACAAAGAAAGTAAACAAAGATATATACTAGAGAGCTTTGGCTAGTACATGGTATAGAAATAAAATGAATGAAAGCATACTTTGCGGAGAAATAAAAGAAGGGTTAAGACTGCTGTTGCTTTACACATAAGGTTTCTGTCCTGTTAGTTTAAAAAGGCTTTTATCTTGTTTTTGCTTCCAGTAAGTGATAAAATCTCCCTTTCTTAACTGTAACCAAGCCAATTGCCCCATTGAGCCTGATAATGAGGACTTGAAGGGCAGACAGTACCCTTTGAGGCTATTTGCCAGGTTTCCTGTGCAATATCCAGAGTGGTCCAGCAGCTGCTCTGTCTGCAGCCCATTGCCACTAGCTGCTGCAGCTCTTCTTCCCCACCCGTGTTCTTCCTTCTCCTTCTGCCTCACATGATCCCAGCGCAGTTTCTCAGCCTCTCAGCTACTCCACTTCCTTATGCTCCCTTGGCTCTTGTCACGGCACCTTCAGCAGGAGGTCTTCCACAAGAAGCCCTGGAGAGAAGCCCTCTCAGATGCTGCCCAACAGCTCCGGAACCCTCCAGCTAACGAGCTTTCCTATGCCATTATTCTCCAGTCAGGACTTACCGGTTTTGATCCTACCTTCCCATATATAAAGACTGAGAGGACTTCCCTGGTAACAGGAAGAAGCGTTCCACCATTGCATGAACAGTGGCCTGGGTGCTTGGTGGGAAGTGAAGCCGTGGCAGCTCCTGCACGAACTGTGCAGTGGAATTGCCCTCACAGGGTACAGGCTGCTGTTTTCTGAACCAGATGAGCTTCAAAATGATGCCAGAACCCATGGCTTGTCGTAGGGGTGTGGGGTAGTTTCGAAGCCACCCTTGCTGCAGATCTTAAAGGGTTCGGATACCACGGAGAGCTGCACACCTCAAGAGTTATTTGACGAATTGTGTCGGCCACTGAGCTTCCTAGACTTTCTGCTTGACTGTGGCTCACTGGGTTCAAATGACACACTGAGCCATGGAGGAGGGTTGTGAGGCCCCCATTACAAGCCATGGCTAGTTGGGGTGGCTTATACACCACCACCTGGCAAGCAGGGTAGTTCAGACGACTCACAAATGACTTCGCATGTCTTGCAAACTCAGTCCAAAGCTACTAGTCCTGAAGGCTATATACACCCTCTAGCAAACACCTGCTGCTGGAGACAGAACTCCCGGTGGTATCATACTGCCAGCTGCAGGCATCTGTTTGGCTCCTGTGCAAACAATGCTGGAAAGCAGAACCCTTTTGTCAGAGCCAGCCCAGCATGATGTTCTGAGGTGCCCCCTCTAAAATTGAGGCTTAGAGCTCGCTCCGCAGCTAAACAAGGCGTTCAAATGGGACCAATAGGCATTCAAATGCTACTTAGACGTAGTGATTTGTAGGGAATATGCTTCCAAACGGGATGTGCCAGTTCAGAGGGAAAGGTGCCATCTGGGTTAAGCAAAACATTTTGCAGTGCAAGAAACACACTTCTCCAGGGGCACACAAAATGCCAAGGCAAGTGCGTTCATCCAGGGAAAACTTCCCTAGGTCTGCCACTGTTCTGACCCTCCAAGGATAGGCAGCACAATGCCCTGTAATGTTCCGGATTACAAGCCCCATACTTTCTGTCACTGCCCATGTTGGCTGTAGCTGATAGGAATTGTAGTCCAAAACATCTGGAGGGCACCAGGTTCTCTCCATCTGCATCAGTAACAGTTCTATGGAGTAATCCAGAGTGTATCTTAAAAACAAAACATTTAACTCCTAGCTTTCCTCCAAAGCAGTCTAGAAAAAGGCTTGGCAGTGTTGATAATTTGTTTAAAGAAACCGCCAGCAACTTCCCAGCCAAGATCCATAATATTTACACAAGTTTTAAATGGTTTTAAAATTGTGGTTTCATATATGCCTGAGCTGTTACCTCCTGAAGCAACAGGGTATTTATCTTACAAACAATTCAGTTTCAAGCATGTGTTTCAGATTTTGAGACTTCATTAGCCCCCTTCTGCTTCTGCTGACTTCACAGATATGTTAGCACCTACTGAGTACATGGCAGAATCTACAAAACAATTTCTGGTCCATCTGGTTTGACTGCTGAGGCTGTTCCATGCTGTCTCGCTCAGCTCCTGTGTTTCACATTTTTTCGCACTGTTAATGTTTTCTTGATACAGTTAATCCCCTGGCATTGTCAATACACAACCTTTACATGTTCCAAAGAAATCAAAGAATTATTTCATTGCACAACAGTATGATCTCCACTGTTCCATTTGCTTAACAATATGGTAACACAAGTCTTATTAGCCCGAGATTTATCTTCTCCGATTGAGTCAGACTTTTATTAATTGCTTTCTCCTCTCACAAATGCAAACTCCTAGACATACAAAATAAGCCGGGTGATTTGTCAGTCAAGGTAAAATGGAAAGACTGGCAACAGTTATACACAGAATACTGAAGTTAACACATTACGCCAACCTTCCGCAACCAGTGCTCCCTGGATATTTTGGACTTCTAATAGCCACTAGTGTCAGGAATCCTGGAAGTTGGAATTCAAAACATATGCAGCAGATTGGGGAGGCAAGTCCTCCCGGAAATTGTCAAAAGGATGTGCCTTTGTGCAATATTCGCATTAGAAATTCTAACCAGAATATCATGGTTCACAAAAGCTACCACTAGATCCTTCTTATGGAGCAGAAGATCCAGTGTATGAAAAACACTCCCAGTTAAGTGGATAGGACCAAGTCTGGGATTGTATTTTTTTTCTCCACTGAAGTAAATTGGGAAGCCTGCAAACACACATACACTCTCTCTCCCTGGAATGAAGCAACTGTTTGTTAGATTTGCAGTTTAAAGGGGCTACACATTTTCCATCTGCATTTTCTTATTAGCCGATGAACACTGAACTTTTTTGCCTACTTGTTTTAACTCACGAAGACAGAGTTAGAAAAGTGCAGGCTTCAATGGAAGATGCCAATTTCACAGCTGGTAAGTCTTTTGTACTGTTGGCAACTCCCCCCCACCACTACCAAGGGTAAAGAGTGACTCCAATGCAAAATCACTAATTCGCTAGACTATTCATTCTCATATTTATTAATGAGCCTTGCTCTGCTGACAATCAGGATTTCGCCAATACAAATCAACTCAGAACCAAAGGACACTAAACACAAACACAAAGGACTCCATTATTCAGTTTTAATTCCTTCAAGAACTCCATGTGAGAATGATGGTTTTAGCAAAGAAAAAGCCTCATGACGCATGACGGTGCTCAGTCCTGAAAATCAGGCTGTGTTGGGCTGATTGGAAGGGGCCATTCTAGGGCTTGAAGACTTGATACAGGATGAACGCATCCATGGGGTTGTAGCTGTTTCTGTTTACAGGCCCAGTTTGGTCCTCCTCCAATGCCTCCTTTTGGAGTTGTACCTTGAACAAAAGGGATGTGATTAGTAAGCAAGACACAGGCCTGCATCTCCAACGGGCTAAAATGGCAAGCAAGTGAAAACGGTACACCACTTGCATTTTGCGCATGACTCTCTTCACAAAGGGTCCCACAGCTGCTAGCAGGAGGGAGTGCATTTTCCCACATTCATTTGCTCCCCCTCTCTCACCAGAACACATCAACCCTATTTCATATATTAATGAGGTATAACAAGAATTCCAAGAATTCTGAAGGTTTAAAAATCCCAAAACGCCCAGCTCAGCCAGAGAGAGAAAACAAAACCCTGTACATTGACTAATGTTCATTAACTGCCTTAACTAAGTGATAATTTATGCAATAATCTTTCTACATTGTGGGATAAACGGGGCTGTGAGTTGGTTCATCACTGGATTGGCACTGTTAATTTAATCAATCATGTCTGAATGTAAGTTCATGTTACCAAAGCTCCACCACAGGAAACTTGCAAGTGACTGACTGAATATTCAAACGTACAAGTTAGATAAGCAGAAGCAGTACCTTGTTGCTAGAAATCTTATGCTGTGCTTCCTCCCCCAGAAATAAAAGTATTCCCTTCTCCCTGCACATTCATAGTCAGGGCCTTCTTGATCGGATTCCACTAATTACTCAACTAAAACTTTGCTTAATATATGGATTAAATGGTTGTTTTAAAAATTTTAATCCCACACACTGAAAAACTAGTGAGAGATGAAAACATTCCTAATTAACAGGGAGCAAAGTTATTCCAGCCCCTCCCCATGCAATGTCCATAAAAATCTGTCTCAGTATTAGCACACTCTGCATCTCCGCCCACTTTTGTAAATGCCGCACTATCAGCAGGGGACAGAGGGTTGCTAACGGAGTATCAATCAGAAGAGTTGGCCACTGCTTGCATATGGAAAGACCTTCCTTATATCAGTGGCACAAGCCACCTTTTAATTTTTTTGAGTGAGTTGGGAAGTGAAGAGGTTTGGATATTTTCTATGCACAGAACTTAGCCCGATACAACATGCCTGCTTATTTCCCAGTCAAACACACATTCATGTCCTTTTCCCAGGAAAATTCCATCAACTCAAAGCGTTCATGCTCTTCTGGGTTTTCCTTGCAACACTTGTCACTGTTACAGGGAAATGATTTCACAGCACAGAGATCAAATCCTCAGTTAACAGAGTTGCTCTCAGCAGGGACATGGCAGTGCTCCCACAGAGTGAAGCACTGTAATTGCAGCCTGCTTTGCAAAATACTCGCACTGTCTGGAAGTCGTTGTTGCACACCTGAGCACAGAGACAGAGCTGAACATTCTCAAAACTACAGAAACATTTGACCATCCGGGAAGACAAGCCTTGGTTGGACATGAAGGATGAAAAGAAACAGGAGAGAGATATGACAAGTCAAACACATACATTCTGCTGGGACAGGGGAGATCTGGGAAAACAGAGTAAGAATAGATCTTTTAAGGCAAAGATGTTAGCACAGCTTTCCAAAGTTGTGACCTTCAGATGTTTTGGACCAACCACCACCAATCCTGGCCTGTATGGCCAATTGTGAGACTTGCTGGCAGCTGTCTAAATTATCACAAATGCCCCAAGAAAAGCACCTATGGTTTGCTGCCGAGTTGTGAACTTTGGATTACCTGTGGCTAGTAACCCACAGTTAAACTATAATGCTAGGTTTGAACTGCAAGTGTTTCAATTTTGCAGCATTTCTGCCATCACGCAAATCCTGGCAATTCAAATCTCCCAGCAGAGCCACTGCTTTTACCTGATCTTATTGCCAGTTTTCATGCGGATCCACTGTGGAATCGGCCGGTTCTGTTTCTGCTTCTTAGCGAGGAACCGCTTGATCTTGAACGTCTTATGGGAAGACTAGCAGGGTGGGAGGGGAGAGAAGGCAAGCATTTAAAATCACAACCTAGCCACAGTCTAAACAATATGAAAGTGGCTTTAGGATGGCCATCCAAGAATGCCATGGATATCTTCCACCTGGACAGTAAGTGACCCACTGTGTGCCATCAGATAGGACGAGATCTTTTGGCCATGCTCATGAGTCCCATGTGAATGTAGCAAAAAATCTACAAGTAGGTTAGCACTTTTGTCGTGGGTGAAACCTTCCATACAAACCTGTGCTAATCATGGGCTTCTTCTCCCCAGTGGCCTATGGTTTGTTTTTTCGTTTAACTATAAAAGGAATTTGACACAGGGGAAATTCACTAACAGGTATACCACACCTGCATTTTAAGTAAGTCTCCAAGGTGCTGTTGCACCCAGCATATCCTGAGATGGCAAAAATGTGTATGAACTGTACCACTTCCAGGCTCCTGGTGGACACCTTCTCTGATTGAACCTTCTCCTAAATATTTCCTCTACATAGAAAACAATCATAGGTGGATTAAAGCTCCTCTTCCTGACTAGTTTCTACAAAGGAGGTGAAGCAAGGATTTTTAATGTTTTTTTTTTTTGAACCTGCAAATGCACCCCCCCACCACAGACACTGAACGTCAGAATTAAATCTCTCAGGCACACTCCCAGTTATTGCTATTACATTGCATTATATACTGCCTTTTTCCTCTTGAAAGGGCACCAAGATGGCTTACATAGCTCCACTTTATCCTCACAACAACCATCAGGTAGGGCTGGAAGCCAGACTGGCCAAAGTCACCTGATGAGCTTCATGGACAAGGGGGGACTAAAACCCAAATCTCCCAGGTTCTCAGTCTAACACTCTAACCATAATACCACATTGGTTCTCCAAAAAGTTGGACCACCTGAGGCTGGAGAAATCTCCTCACCCACCCATATATCACCCTGAAGGGTCCTTGCTCTGCCTACTGCAGAAACTTCCACTGCCTCATTACAGTGCAGGCACTCTCCTACCTATAAGCTGTATACAAGCTTCCTCAGATGTTCGATTGCAGGTCCACCATCCATGAATTGGGATGATAGCAGCTAGACTTCATTTGGAAACTCAGAGTAGGGATAAGTGACCTATAGCCTTCTCCTTCATGAATCTGTTTACAGGGCAAACAAAAGAAATCTAATTTCCTTTTATGAAGCAGCATTCAGCTTTAGGTCCTCACCTGTAGCCTCAATCAGTATAGCCCAGGTACAAGGATGCCAACTAAATAAGACTTTCCCAACCTTTAAACGCTTCCCAGCTAGCCAGAGGGAACTGGAAGTTGTAGTCCAACATACCTGGGGATACAGCACCAGGTCGGAAGAAGCTGACCACAAGCACCCCTTCCTCTGCTGAACTCAGAGCGCTACATTTCCCGTTAACCATGCACTGGATGGCGTTTGCCCACTCCTAGTTTTCATAATCAACCTTAAGCAGCTTGGGACAGAATGCACGTCTTGTCAGGTTCAATTCCTGGCACCTCCAATTTAAAGATGATAAAGAACAAGAGAGGAACAAGTCCACTGGCAAGAGGGCCCTCCATCCAACTGCTGGGGGGCCCTCACTCCCCAGAACACCACAGGCCAGCAGCGCCCCGAACTCCTACTTTGTGCCGCTTTCAGAAGACTGGAAGCGCTGCCGCGGGAAGGAGAACACGGGGAACAGCGCTTCGATCGGTGCTGATAATCCAACCCAATGGATGAAATGGCATTTCTATTCGATTAAGCCAGTGCCAGGCCTCTGGGGGTATGCATGAAGCACTCGCACCCCAAAGCCAGCACGATGAAGCCTCTGCAGTGAAAAGACCAGGGAGCCTGGTTCAAATCCCCACTCGGCCCACCAAGCTCAACGGGGCTAGCTACTTTCTCGCCATTTCAGCCTACCCTAACTCCAGGATTGTTGTGAGGATAACAATGCCGATGTAAAGCACGAACATATTACACCAAGTTCCGTAAAATAAAAATCTAGCAAACTTTAACAACATGCCTAAGCGCAGCGTAGAAACCCACTGGAAGGATTCTTTCGTCCAAGGCCCACTGCTACCCCCATACAACGTCAATGAAGGAGTGAATGAGCCACAACGGGCTCTCGATCCTTCCAGCGCCCATTCCAGGTCCCTGTTTCGCTCCTGCTCATTCACAGGAAGTCTCAGGATACTCAAGACTTAAAAACGGGATCCCGAAAAACAACCCGAAGAGAGGATTGCAATGGATTCACTCACCATGGCTACACGTTAGCCAGTAACTTCCACAATGGCGGAAAGAGAGAGAAGCCAGCACCGCAAAGGACGATGGGAAAGGGACGAAACAGGAAGCACTACACGTACACTCCCCCCGCCGCCGCCGCCGGAGAGACATAGCGAATATATGGACACAGCGCCCCTAGCGCCTCCTATCAGCTATTGTAGGGTTCCCACTAATCGCATGTGTATTTATTACACAAAAAAGGCTCCACTAAAGAGCCTATTCGGCTGGTCAGGATTAATGCAAACATAGGAAGTATCCCCCCACCTTGCTCCAAAATCAAAGAAAAGCAAATATACACCCATGACAAATGTTTTAGAACACGCACCAAAATTACGTTTTAAAAATATAATTAAAATATTGTAGAACTGCACTGAACTAGACTGGATATCTAACACGTGAGCGTGTGCAGCATGTTTTCCATTTCTGTGACTCTTCATAGGCTAGCTGGTCTTATCAGGGAGCAGATCTTTAAATTCAGGTATTATGGCTTAGAAATTAGGATCTTTTTCAGGTGACACCCTTTCCCACAAACTTTTTTTTTTAAGATTGTGGACATGATTCATATTTTTCCTGGATTAATGCAACCACTCCTTTTAGGGTTTGATTATCCTGTATGTTCAACTTCAGCATGTAAACAAGATGGAAATGAGAGAAAGCAACAGAACTGAAAGGAAACAGGAACAGGGCAATGACATTTTTCTTCCCTTTTTTGTTTATCAGCTCTGTCATGCCACAACCACATATTCTGAGCCAAACCGCACTGGGGCTACACACATCTTTCTATGTAACTTACAAGTGTAAAAAACTGCAGATTGCATTAGCTAGTGGAAACCAAGATAAAGTCACAGCAAGAATGGGTGCAGGGGAGGCCAGGTAGAATTTAAGCCAGTCCTGAGGGAAATCCCTCTTCTGAAAATTTTATCTACTGGGACAGGGGTGGGGGGAATCTGCTTCTGGGCACCAACTGCTTGTTTCTAGTGTTAGGCTACTTTGGACAAAGTCACTAGCCTTTGTATCAGAATCTGGGTAGCATTAGAATGCAGCAAGTCACCAGTGAGTACATACTCACACCTATGAAGTTTCTTGAATTGCATTCCATTCTGCTTTTCATGCAGAAGCTCCCAGGTTTACTTCCTCGCATCTCCAGGTAAAAAGGTCATGTAGCAAGAAATGAGGCCTCACAAGCTTGTACCTGAGAGACCCCAGAGTTGCTGCCAGTTGAGTAGAAGGTACTGGGATAGACAAATAGTCTGGCCAAGTTCAAGGCAGCTAACAGTTTTATTTAATGACATTCATATTGCACTTTCCTAGGTAAAACAAAGATACAGAGCTCTTTGGTATCCTGGGGAGATGGAATGCAAAGCAATGCAAGTCAGTGACTTAAATAATGCACTTTATCACAGCCAATAACACAACAGGACTTCATAGTTCTCCCCGCCCCCATGCTGCCTGAAAATCTGTTTTTAGGGGATTTCACAATCTGCTTGGACACATTTTGAGACGGTGCAGGGGAGAGGGAATTGCCCCTCCAATCCTGCCACTGGGACCTCTTCCTTCAGCACAGCATCACCCGTGGATTCAATCCATGGATCCATTATTTCTCCAGTTTGGAGAAATACACATCCACCCTCAATGATCTTCAAAGCCATCAACTTCTTGTGCAGATTGGATCACCAGCTTTCCCACATTAAAAATAACAGGCAGTTTTAAATGATATCTCAGTTTTATTACATATAAAATAGCTGTGTTGTGTTAGCACGAGGAGGAGCCACAATTTTAGGAACACTTCTTTCTGCATTTTCAGATGCTTTAGTGCATCAGTGAAGACACTGTACAATGGAAGTAGAACATTTTCCTGACAGGGTACTACGGGAAAAAAGAGAAAAGCTGGGAGAAGTAGGGATTATAGAGCAACTTTTAAAATAAAATGATCTATCAGTATTTGGATATTACATGAGATGTGCAAATAAAAAAATCCTTTCCCATTGCTTATGCTCAGCTAACAGGCTATCCAAATCTATAGTGAAAGAAGAAAAAAATCCCTTAAGCTCTTCCCCTCATTCTCAAAATGAATCTTGCAACCAGCAGAGCAAAGATTCTCCCAGTGCTATAAATTGGACCTTCCCCCGCCCATACAGTTAGTAATGTAGACCATAGGCTCACAGAGCACAACAACAGAGATGTTAACACTTGAGCAATCATGAGGCTCCAACCTGGCTGTATTTTAAGTGCAAATACTGGTTCGTGGCTTTTATATGAAACAGCGCTTGTTTGGGGCTACACAGCCAACCGACTTGTTTTAAGGTGACAAAGCCTTTGTACTTTTTCAGAACTGGGAAGGTTGCCTTCCCTTGCAGTTTGCTGCCACACCTTCAACTGAAAATGCACTGAGCAAATACGAGTTTGTGCTGACTCTGCACTGAGGCTCTGAAACCAGATACACTGACAAGTACTGCTTCCCTCTCTTCTTCCTCCTCCTTCTCCAAGGCACTTCTGGACCGCGCAGTTCATGCTCTTTGGCTGTTACATTGGTGAGGACACACATGACTTATCACTCTTCCTCTTTTGTGCTACTGGTTTCACATTCCTGCTTTTTATCTGCTCCCTGATCAGGTGACTTTGCAGAACTTTCATCATATGCAGACAAACGACTTCGACTCCGTGCCCCAGGCTGGTAGAGTTGCATGGCTGGGCGATCCTGAAATAAAAATACATTCAGTTGTGATGCTCTGCTTCCAACTGAGTGCAGTGGTTAGGGTATGGGTGCAGAACCCCAGGCCCAGGGGCCAAATCTGGCCTTCTGTAGTTCCCCAGAAGGCCACCCTGGCTTCGTCATCGGTCCTCCAAATGCCAATCATTTGGTGGTGCCTGGCTTTTTTGCAGAAATGCAACCCATTGAATACCTACCCTAAGCTAAGCTAAAGTAGGTTTGTTTGGTGCTGCTCTTTTCTACCTTCAGCCCTATCTATCAGAGGAACATGGCTGCTGAGAATTCATCCAACACGGAATATGGCCCTTGGATTAGAAGATATTTTGCACCCGTGTGTTACTTTTAGACATGGGCCAGATAGACTGGAGTTCAGAAAGCCTAATTCAGCCATGATGGTTACTGGGTGATACTAGGCTAGGGTCACCTTCAAATTAATCTGACAGGGTTGTTTTTTTAAGGGTTAGAGTTAGGGTTTGGGAAAGGAGGGAAAAATGCGATCACCCTATGGGTGCCACTCCAATCTCCTTATAATTACTGGGTAAGTGTCATAGAAACATAAAAAAGTTGAAATGGAGTGAGTCAGAAGGGACCTCCTGGACCATCTAGTCTGACCCCCAGCTCCAGCCAGTTCCACTCATGAAATGCCTACCATATGCATGTCCAGCCTACCCTTAAACATCCTCACCAATGGGGCTTCAACTACCTCCCATGGAAGCCTGTTCCATACCCTTGGGGTCCTAACTGTCAGGAAGTACTTCTTGACATCCACACTAAATCTTGGTTCCCTGAGCTTTGCTCAACTGGAACGCGTTCTGCCCTCCACTGCAGGGGAAAAAGAGTCATGACCCATCTCTGTGTGACATCCCCTCACAAATCTGCATGTCATTAATAGGTCCCCTCTGAGTCTCCTCCTCTCAAGGCTGAAAAGACCCAGCTCCCCCAGTCTCTCCTCATATGGCTTTCCCTGCAAACCAGCCACCATCCTAGTGGCCCTTCACTGCACTGATTCCAACCTTGTTATATCCCTCTTGTAATGAGGGGCTCAGAACTGAACACAATACTCCAGCTGTGGGTGCACCAGAGTCGTACAGAGTGGCAGTAATACCTCTCTCAATCTAGAAGCCACGCTTCTGGCTATGCATCCAAGGATGGCATTCACCCGCTTGGCCGCTGCTGGCTTGTGTTTAGCCTTTAGTCAACCAGCATCCCGAGATCCTTTTCACAAGTGCTGCTCTCCAGCCACTTTTCCCCTAACGTGTACTCATGATGCCCATTCCTAGGTCATGATTAGATAAGCAAGCCAATAATTTCTACAGCTAACAGCAGTTCTTTGCATTTTCATCTGAAAGTAAGCTGTATTAAAATATTTTAAAAATATAAATAAAAGCAGTTTTCTTTTATAATAATAGGTTTAGAAATTGTTGTCATGATCTATACACACCCTTCTGTCTACAGTATCCAACTGTCTGCAAGCACTACATATCCACAGCCTAACAAGGAGGGAGAACATATTACAAAACCAGCACCTTGTTTCTGATGCGATCCCTCTTTCCCATATCCTCTTTTTTGTCTTCTTTGGTTCCTTTCTCTGGTTTCTCTGTATTTCCCATGTAGTCTGCCAATTCAACTCTCTTCCCTTTATCTCTCAGCAAATCTCTCTCCTTTTTCAATTCTTCTTCTTTTCTCCTGAAAATCTTTTCTTTGTCAAAGCGCTCTTTCTGCCTTCGGCGCTCTTCTTCTTGGCGTCTAAGTTTGTCTCTTTCCCGCTGGATTCTCTCATACTCTCTGTCTCTGTCATACTCTCTTTCCCTATAGTCTTTTCCACAGTCATCCTCCAACCTGTGTAACAAAGACTTGGATATTCAGTGTGAGGACAAAGCAGAGAAATTAAAAAGAATCAACACCACTGTGTCTGGCCAACACTAATGCTGATAACTGATAATTTTACACAAGATTTAGATTTAACTGAATACAAACTCATGTATATCTTTGGAAAGCCACAAGGCCCTTTTTATTTACATGGAATGACAACAGAAAAGTTTTGGAAATCAAGATTTCAAAAGGGCTGTTTTACACATTCTATAGCAACAAACTCAAGTTTTCAAATGAATGTAAATCTAACAGGAAGTTGCAAGTAACTCTTGCTTCCTGGCATACCTGATACATGTGCTTCTAAACACTTACCACATTTCATTTTCATATTGAAGTGCACAGCTCAGAAATATGTAATACAGAAATAAGTCATAATTTAATTGTGTAGGTGAGTATCAAAGTTCAGAGCAATTTCCAAACTGGCAAATCCAAGACATGAAACCCTCTCTGACTTTGTACAGTTTAATTATACTCCCCAGTTCTAATTGGGAATACTAGCCAACTGAAATTGGAAACCAACTTGGGACAAAGCATTTTAATTAACCAGCATATTCTGACAAATAAGCATACATGCTGCAAAGAAAACACTAACTTTTTGGCCTTCTCCTCTTTAGCCTCCCCATCGGAGCGCTTGGCTGGCGCATTGCTGATTGCACCGGCAGCCTTTTCCTCCCTCAGACTGTCTTTATCCATTTTCTTGGTCTTTTCCTTTTTTTCGAAGTCTCTTTCATCTTTTTCTGGCTTCTTAAGTAGCTAGGAAAAAAGTAAATTTAGTTTTCCTTCCTAAGTTAATTCTAATGCTAAACTGTACTAGGAAGTTGGTCTATCACTGAAAGGAGGATGGACAGATCTGTAATACAAAAGTAGGGATACTGGCATAACTTTTTTCCATTCATTGCTGTTTATCATTACAGACTATAATCCAATGTCACTGCGTTTTACAATGCAATTATAGAAATGCATATAAATGACACTGAAACATGTTTCACTGAATTCAGTGGCACTTCTTCCCAGAGAAATAGTATAGGATTGCAGCCCTGTTCTGTTTCTAACATTAAAAAGCTCACATTGTCAGAGCCAATGCCAATTTTGTCACTGCTTATTTCGCTCTCGTCTGCTGTATTATTACAATGCTACACAAATTCATGACTTTTTCAGAGCAATAAATAAAAATATAAAAAAATAAAGGTTTCTGCATGGAACTGCTTACAAACTAGATTTTGAAACTGGGGAAAACAGAGGGGAGGGGAGGGACTATAGAAAAGAAGAGATAATGCAAGCAAAGGTACTCATATGCATACTTAAAGCTTTGATTCAGTTGGGTGTGAGGATTAAGAGATTGCAGTCATTCCATAACCAGCCTCCCAGCAGCTGTCTACCAGGCAATGCATCAAAAAGCTTGCATTTCAGTGTCCCCAAGGGTTGGGGAGAAGGAATGCATTGTTTAAAGAAAGAACAGGTTGTTGCATGTGATGTTAGGGAAGCCCACAAGGAAGATAAAAATGGCACCTAAACCTCCCACAAGCCTTACCCCTAACCTATGTATTAGGAGATTTCTCTGCTGTGTGGCATATAGCACCACCCTATGTATACTGATTGATTGACTGATTTAGATTTATTTTCTACCAACTTGACCCAAGGGACCTCTAAGTGGATTGCAAACAGTTAAAACATCTCCTAACAATAACAATAAAAACAGATTAAAATACACAAGCAAAGACAATAAAAACAACACAACCGCTACACCACTGAAGGCAATTAATTTCAAATTGTCAAGATAAACAATATTTTGTTTAATATAAGTATTTTAATAAAGTTTAATATTAACTGTAAGTTTTAATTTGCAGCCGGAATGAATCGGATTTTTAATTTGTATAATCTGTAGTTTCGTACAATGTTTATTTATGTAAGCCATCCCAAGGCATTAAGCGAAGGGACAGCATACAAAGACTCTAAATAAATAAATTATTAAAATGCCAACAAAATAAGGTTGTTTTTGCCTGGTGCTGAAAAGATTGCAATGAGGGTGCCAGATGAACTGCTTTTGGCAAGCTGTTCCACAGCTGGTGCACAACTACTGAAAATGCCCCTCTTCTATTAGCCATCCTCCTTACCTCTTTGGAGGATGGCCCTCAGGAGGGTTTCCAAAACAGATCTCAGGGGCCGGGTAGGTACATAACCTTTTACTCAGAAGTAAGCCCCCAATGAGCTTAGAGGGAGCTCACTCCCAAGTATACACAGAATTGTAAGCCATGTGCAAAATACATATTTTGTTGTTGCACTACATATTTTTCCTTGCTGTAATATCTATGCTTGCTGTAATATCTATCCTTGCTGTAATATCTTTATCTATGTTGTAGATCTATGTTGTAAGCCGCCCCGAGGCTTTATCTATGTTGTAAGCCGCCCCGAGGCTTCGGCGAATGGGGCGGCATAAAAATGTTTTAATAAATAAATAAATAAATAAATAATATTTTGCAAGCATGCATTCAGTGAGCAACATAGGACCAGTCTATCCTACAGGAATGAAGCTATACCTTAATCTTTGGTTCATCCTTTGATTTCTCCCTTTCTTTCTCTGGACACCTCTCCACCTTCTTTGTTTTTTCAAATTCTTTTCTCTTCCTTCTTTCCTCTTCTTTCCATTTTCTCCTTTCTTCTTCCCTCTGCCTTTTCCTCTCTAGTTCTCGCCGCCTCCTTTCCTCTCGTTTTTCTTCTCTAATCCTCTGTAGAAGAAAAATATAGTGAGGAAGAACTTTTTATTCCAGGCTCCCTCTTTAGAAACACTTCTACTCAGAGGTTTGGCACTGTAACCTGCCCTGAATTTAGCAAAAAAAAAAAAAAAAATTCAGATGATACTTTAAGTTATTAGCTTAAAATATATTTAACAATATTTATTGAAACACTGTAATAATATTTGACTCTTAAAACATATACACTGCAAGTGGGGAAAATTCAGAGTTGTTAAACTAGAACATGGCTGGGAATCAAAGCAGATACATTTATATCTGATCCCCCTTTTCTTTAAAAAAAAAAAAAAAAATTGAGAACACCCAAGTGCCCATAAAATCAGAAAGCTCAGTATTACATCCCTTCATTACTGTTATGAGGCAAACCTTATTGATCACAATTTATTAAAGTACAGACTATGTAGCCTTTTAATGTAACTTTAGAAAAATGGTTACCTGTTTGTTTTTCAAGAAGTTCAACAGAGGAGTGGTCTTTTTAGCTAAAGATTAAGAAAGAGCATTTTCATCCTTATTTTTAAAACAGTGAATATAATGCAAGAAAAAAATAAAAATATTAATATTAAACAAAACATAACAAAACAAAACAGACATATGATCAAAACACCAACATTTAATGCACAAAGCGATACATTTATAGGCCTAAATCCAAGATACTGTCAGCAAAAGGTATAGAAAACATGTACGGCATAAATAGTACTGAAATTTCTTGCTGAATGTGTATGTGGCTCTCTGTATAAGAAGTAGGTTGAGCTGTACAAGACGTATATATTCCAGCTGTTTGCTCTTCTCTGCATTTACAATCTGACATGGTGCTCAGCTCTACATTAAGTATAATGGGGCTCAGAGGAAAGGAGAACTATAGCAAGGTGGGACATCCTATTACAGTTCTGAACAATTTAATATATCCTCCCTCTCTGTCTCTTAAATCAACCATCCCAACTTAGTGCGCTCGAGATGTTGTGGACTTAAAGACCCACAGACCTCATTCAGCACCACCAATGTTCAAGGATAATTAGGGCTGCATCTTGAGGGTACCATGTTGGGGAACACTACATTAAACTTAAAAGGGTTAATCATTAAGAAAATGTGAATATTTTAATAGCTTATTATTAAACAGTACATTATCTCAAAAAGACAGATAAAGAATATACTATTCATATACACACTGATGTTTCATACCTATTAATTCTTTGTTTCTTGCCTCTATTTCCTCTAGTAATGTCTCAGGAGTGGATGCCAATTTCTCATCATCAGCACTGTAGCTTTCTAAAAACTTCTTATACTCTGGATCTGATGAAAACCAAGGTGCATACATGAAAAATATAAATGCTTTAAAATGTAAAAAAGTACAGACAACCAGTGGTTGCATTAAATCTATATTCTAATCTTGAGTAGAGCATATTGCTTCCAGCGGTTCTAACGATCTGCAAAAATGCAGGCATTAAGCTTGAACAAGTCAGGGCACAA